CCCATTTTATTAAAATGAACGTTGAAGATACTAATGATTACACACAAAAGAAAAAATCAGTAGAAACTTATGAGGAGTGAGAATTACGTCTTGCCAATAGACGTAATCAGAGGAAAAAAAAGAGAGCTGAGGAAACAGAAGAAGAGAGAAAATTACGTATTGAACATGAATGTAGCCAAAGGCAAAATAAATTAAATACAAAAACACCAGAGGAACGAGAAGAACGCCTTGCACGTGATCGGAATAGAAAAAAAAAAAAATTACCACAGAAACTATAGAAGAGAGAGAAGTGCGTCTTGAACATAGATGTATTCAATGGAGTAAAAAAAAAGCAGAAGCCAATAATGAACCTATTGTGGAAAGTGGACAACTTTCAGAATCTGATAGAAACCTTTTAAACACTTTTCGCAAAATAATGGCAAAAACCAAAAGTGAATTTTGCCTGACATGTGATGAACATTTTCCATCCATAATTCTCTACCAAGGTGAATGCTATCGATGTTATAGAGATAAAAATACACTCAAAAAATTTTCAACGGAAAATAATATGAATCCAGGTATGAACCACTAAATTTGAGTCAATAATAATAATTATTAAATTTGAGCAAATAGAAATAATAATAATAATAATAATAATAAAATTTAGGCGATATACCTCAAGAACTTCAGAATTTAACAAATATTGAAGAAATGCTGATCGCTCAGGTTTTTCCTATAGTATTAGTCTATAATCTTCGTGGTGGACAATATGCGTATAAAGGAAATGTTATTAATTTTCCTCAAGATGTACATGACTTTGTAACACGCCTACCACGTTATCCATCATCTTTAGATACACTTATTATACGACGTCCTTCTTTAAACAAATCAACATTTCAAGATTTTCAAGTTCAACGAGAAAAAGTATATAGAGCTTTATGTTGGCTAAAAGCTAATAATCTTTTTTATCGTGATATTGATATTGCTGAAGACATACTTCAATTATTACCTGAAAATAGTTCAATAATTGAACAACTCTCACATATTTCAAACAATGACTTGAGCAATGAAAATGAATCATATGAAAGTATTGAAAATTATAATGACAATAGTATTTCACAAACCTTTATCCCTGTTCCACCTTCTACATGTTGTGAAGACAGTGCAATTGATAAGGCCCTGAGTAATCTGCAAAATAATAACAATCAGCCCCTAATAATTGAATTGCCCAAGATTAATCGTGCACCAATTGATGAGTTTAATACTCCAGGATACATGGCACGTGCATTTCCTACACTTTATCCCTATGGTATTGCTGACTTATATGCACCTCGAATAAAAAAAGTACAGCCTGCTGAGTATTTTCAACA